GTGGGTCTAGGCCATTTATTGAATAAAACTTCTGTAGGGCCTCTTTGGGCAAACACGTGACAAGGGCAACACCTATCTGTCGATGAGAAGTGTACGGGAGTCTCTCCACTATGACTTTTTATTGAGACCCCAAAGTTAGGAGTCTTTGATCAATATTTATTATTTTTGTATGTGTATAAGCTGTGACCAAAAATATGGTGTAAGTGTAAAAGCGTGTAACAAAGAAGGTAAAGGAAAGGAACCCTATTGAAAATTCTCATTTGTATGAGAAATTTTTGTGGCCAATAAACACATATGAATCATACAAGCTATATAGGAACATATAAGAACAGTGTGAGAACCATATAAGAACTATATAAGATATATGAGAACATACAAGCACGATATAAGAAACTAGTGGGAAGTTTCTTATGTGGTTCTTATATATCTTACATAATTCTTATATAGTTCTCATATAATTCTTATATGGTTCTTATATGTTCTTTTATAGCTTGTATGATTCATATGTGTTTATTGAACACAAGAAATTTCTCATACAAATGATTTTTTTTACTAGGGAACACACAACGGAGGTTGAGCGGCGTACAGCTCTCGTCCACTGGCGGGCGTACGGTGTACCTTTCCTTCGTCTTCGCTGTTACGCGTTGTTATACCCACACCATGTTTAATTTCAACCAGTGTTTTAGGCATTACCGAAAAATAGTAATGAAATACGTTACTCGTTACTCGCAAATAATAGGAACGCGTTACCGACCTACTTTACCTCAAAATAAAAGGAACGCGTTACCGTTAAAGTTAAAAAAATAACGCACGTTACTTTTCTTTTATTATGAATTAACACGTTTTACTCTTTCGACCATACAGGTATACATAAGCGCCATTTTCCAAGAAACATTATGTCCAACCAGAAACCGAACATAATTACCTTATCTTTCTACGGTTCCACCTTAATACTATGAAGAAAAAACTCAAAAACAAAAACTAACATTGAGATGTCTTGGTGCCTAAAAACACGAAAAAAAGTTGAAGAGTAATTGTTTTAAGTCTTGGGAAGAATATGTAACGAGTGTTGTAATGTTATACTTTACTCGGAATAATAAACGTAAATTCGTTACCCATTACCATTTTGAAAATATAACGAATACGTTACAACGTTACCGAAAAAAGTAACGCGTTACCGGTAACGCCGTTACTTGAAACACGTTAATGCCAACACTGATTGCAACCAACTAGCCAAACTCCCTAAATTGTGACCTTAAAAGCACGCCTCACCGTACTCCAGTTTATTTATTTTCCTGTATTTACACGCAAGGCGCGGATATATTTTAGAGGGGAGTGAACATACAAACATATGACAATTAAATGAACTAAGGATGCTGTTAGTAAGAGTTCGTTTGAAAATAACAGCATCCCTAATTGCAGCAAGTGAAGCGGGAAGGTGGTTCAACAAGTCGTTTGATGTTCGAGTTATAAATGGGATGTCGAACGTGTGAGCGTTAACGCTTGGTATGCCTTATAACAGTGATCAGCACGTCCTGATGTGAGGTCACAAGAGCGTGTTTCGTGTTTTGAATGTAGGTACCTGCTGTGCACGCGTTGTTAAAGAAAACACGCTATCCTGAAGATTTAACTTAAGCTTCGCTCACATATGGGTGGAAACACATAGTATTGCGCATAAGCTAGTCTCGGGAAGTTACGTGCTCTCAAATCGCATTTTTGTATGATCTTAGCGTTCTCGTAGCATTTCCCGAGGACAGTAACTACCAGAGCATCTTAAAATTAGTTATTTACGATGCTAACTTTAAACTTTAGCCAATGAATTTCCGCCGTCATTTCAGACATGGTACCACAATCGCAGATACTTCGGCGGTAATAGACGGACGCATTCACCTTATTTATCCTCTCACTGCCGCTATTGGCCCGCACCGATGATAATGCCAGCACTCAGCTATTGTCCACTCTGACCGCAGCCGCGTGGCCACCACCCCTTCGGAAGATAAGCATCGCACGAAGAGCCGTACGGGTCGGCGCCATCCTTCGCGATTTATCGCGGGTGAACCCTGCAAACCGGGAAGGAAGAAGAGATCTTCAGGCCAAGCCTCTTCGGTTATTGCCGTGCCGATGGACGAGGCTGGAACGAGTTACGGTACTTCCTGAAAGTGAATATGCTAAGGCCAGCCTTGAACTTCGGGTTTCGCCTTCGCGCGCAAGGCCAGGCAGCTTTCTTTATCTCCATTTTTTTTTTTTTCTTTTGCAGCGAGAGCCCTTTTTTAGTTCGAGTACCTATTGCCCTTCCCCCCTTTCAAAAGAGTTGAAGTGTCGACGATCTTTAGCTACGGCCACTCTCCAAACTCCCTCCACCACTAAGCTGGGAGTCCGGGGGGAGCAACCAGCAGCCGGACCAATCAGCCGCCTCCCTTTCATCAGCTGACCCCGCACTTCTGCGCGTGAGTATGGGCGGGACTAGGATAACCGCGTGGCGGAAGATAGGCGTACCAGTGGTCCAACGAGCACATAGCCTCCACCGCACTGTCAGCTTAGGGATGAACGGAGTACAGCTTCCGGGAACGGCTTCAGAGTGCTGTTTCCAGTCTCGAAGGCGTAAGCGAACGAAAAAACAGGTTTGAAAAAAAAAAGAAATGAAAACAGGAATCTTTTCAATTTGATCATCCTCTGAATTTGTTTGCTGGTGCGACGTTCGAGTTTGGTCGCTTCTTAATTTGATTCGGTGTGCGGGCTGACTCGTCTTGCTCGTTCCCTTTCTCTATTTGCCATTCGCGTCTTGTCCCCGCGGTCAAGTCGGTGACTGGAGGATTGCCGTACGTGATGCGGCGGCTCTGATCTGGTACATGCAGCGCTTCGGGGGACCAAAAAATCGAAAGGGAAAGGGCATAAATTGACTCGAAGGGAGAAATCGAAAAGAGCAAAAGACAGCAGAGATTACATCGTAGAGACATAGACGTAAGTACATCCAGCTTAAAAAAAAAAAAAATAAGAGCAGAAAACGAATTGGACGTCACTTAAGACGCGGCTGAGAAAGCTGACCAGCAGAAAGAGCTTCGCCATGCTTTTACGATCGATCGTTCTCTGGGAAGACGACGTTTATCTCTAGATGTCTCTGGTTAATGCGTATAGATGATGTAGTCTAACGTCGCATGTATCAGGCTGAGTTCGAGATTATGACTAGAGTAATGCTTATTTTCAGTTTTGCTATTCGAAGCGTTCAGGAAGAGCGGGAAATGTAATTGTGACAGGGACGTGAAAGATTGTAACGGTCTATCTCGAAGCAGGACACTACTAATTCAAACAATTGTAGCAAAAAAAAACAAAAACAAAAAAAACAACAAGTAGTTTGTGACGCGTTAGTAGGGCTGTTCATACGAACATTTTGCTTCGAGCTATCAGTTAAATGGTTTTAACGTTGTCATCGATGAAGGCACCTCTCGTAACTAAAGCCCCTCTATTCTGAAAGTAACGTGAGCCATTCTCCTTGACAACGCCCTCAAACTCGAGTATTTCTCTTTCCCTCTAATCACCTGTAGATCGGTGGATACCGCGTGACGAACCTCTTTCCCCCGATATACCAAGCGATGCTGGAAATCAGCGAGGTGTTCGCCCTCGGGCCTCGTCGTCTCGGTCGATGCGCGGCCACGCTCATAGACCGTCATAGACCAAGTCTCCCAGAAGGGGAGGAAGAAATGGGACTTTTTCCCCATGATGAGGAGGAGCCGGAGCGTGAAGTACCTTGGAAAACTGTGATACGTTGTGAACAATGTGCCTAATTTGCTGGGCGCCGGGATCGTCTAATGTAATAGACGTTTTTTTTTTCAAAAGTGAGCGCCATCTAGTGGCTGCTGCTCCAATTCGCCTTGTCCGCCATTTTCTGATCACGTACTGAGCATGTATTGGACTAGAGGTACCCAAAAAGAAGTCAACTGGACGCACGCATGGCTCTATCCTGGACGACCTGCCCGAATTAGGGGTGACTCATGCCCCGCCCGCCCCCCCCCCCCCCCCCCCCCCCCAGCTCTGAAGGAACGCTGCGTGGCGTGCATCCGGTCGTTCTGTCCTGAGCGGTTTTCTGTTCCCAGCCAGGTGCTATAAGTATGAGCAAAGTTCAATTCTCGCGCTGGCGAAGCGTCACGTGTTCGAGGATATACATTACAGTTCTACCGAGGCCAGACGAACAAGCCGGGCCTGCGATTGATCCCTTTACGACCGCGAAACTTCACGTGTTGAGTATCTACTACACATCCTGCCAGGCAAGAAAAACAAGCAGAAAAATAAGCTGGGAAGCTAACAATGCCATGGTTACTTGTTCCAGTATTCGGCCCGTACAAATGGACGAGTTCACGAGTATGAAAGGCTATCTCGCTGGAAAGTTGGGGTTTAAAGTAAACTCAGCGGTGAAGTTTTTAACTCGAAGGAAGTCCACTGCATCATCTGCAAAAAGCCGTTTTCATACAGTGGAAGCGCACGTTCGCTTCAGTATCACCTACGAGCGAAGCACCCATGCATGTACGCCGCTGCAGCGAGGACCATCCGCCAAAACACAGACAGCAATCAACGCCTTTTCGTCGAGGCCCCTTTCTCTGAAAAAAGAAGAAAGCATCGCCCAGACCCTAACGTCTTGTCTTCCTGTCAGAGAATGTGAACAAACTTCCTTGTCTTCGGAGCTGGAGCAAAAATATGTAAGTCTTTGAATCGGTGAACTGCATGTATCCTCAATTGTAAATGTCCTTTGCGCCGTGTAACAGAGAGCAACATAAGTCTTCAAAGGGAAGACGAGTTGTTGCATTCTTTTTAATATATTATTTATACAAAAATCAACGCAACCGATTAATCGATTAATTAATCGATTAAAGGGTGGCGATTAATCGGGTTGAAATTTTTAATCGACGCCCAGCCCTAGAGATCTTTTACTATATGTAAAAATGAAGGTGCTACATCCATTGGCGCAACCATGAGGAGATGTGGAAGGACGTACAAACGCACGTAGACACGTGATATGACAACAGCTTTTTATTCCTCGTATAAACTTCTGTCGAAAAAGGCGAGAAGCAAAGGCAAGAAACTCTCTGCAGCTCGCAGAGCCCGAAATGCATGTACAGCGCCCAGACAGCTCTGGCCTCGTGTTTGGCGTCAGCACTGTTGGAAACAAGTCGGGTACGGACAGACCTCTGAGAACTCGAGGGAATAGCTGAGAAGACGATGGAGAGGATATGATCCAAACCGGAGAAAAAATATGAAACAAATTCTCAGGTCAACAACACAGGAATGCATAAAAACTCTATGGAATGATATGGTATATTCACAAACAACAAAATATTACCACCCACATAAAAAATAGAAACATTGCACCACGCAGTGTATGCATCACGTAAAATTGTCTCCCCTGTGTTCAAGCTTCGTGGAATGAACATCGAGAATCTGGAAGTGAGGTAACTAGAAATCTAGCATGGCATGACCACTTTGTCTGTGGGAAAGAATTTGGCCATTTCAAGAATTTCGAAGGGTGTAACGACATATCTCTTTGCACACAAAGTCAAGATTCAATTCGCTTACGTCCGTATTTTATGTTGTTTCGGAATGTCGATAATCAACGACCCAGGTTATCTTCTGATTCGGGCTGATAACCTTAGAGTAAAGGCTGGTTCACACAGCCCCGATTTCTCGTTTTCTTGCATTACATATAAGTCACCGAAACATTTGTTTCGAATGCCTGGCAGCCACGCTTAATATGGAGCACAGATGTCCCGGCGACTTGTGGCGCGAGCAGGCTTAAGCTTTCGTAACGTAACATAAGAGAACGGGGATGTGTGAGCCAGCTTTTAGAGCCCGTAAAAGGCAGGCTTTTGAAGACGAAACTGGTTATGCCAAGACTAGTAAGCTAGTGACTAGGAAGCCTGAAACAACCAGAGAGACAAAGTAACAAACACCTAAACCCACATGTAACAACTCAATAATGAGCAAAACAACCCACAAACAAGACACTAAAAACATCACAGGCTTCGCTCTGCCGCCTGTGAAAAAAAACACTACATTACAATATCACAAAAATAACCAACATCATAAATTAAAAGAAGACTATAACTGAGCCATGCTAATGAGAACACAAAAGGTAAATACCCTTGGCAGCCCAAAAAATGCTTGATATTTCTGATATGCACTGCCTGGAGTCTCTGTGGGTGAGGAATGTCATCGTAAAAGAGTGCGTGCCTTCGTCTTTGTACAGTGTAACACACTATTCCCAAGATATGTTTGACAACAGATGCAAGTAGTACATTCCTTGTACAGCATTTGCAGTCGTCACTATTTTTTTTTTCAAAGTGCAATGACTGAAAATGGCGTTCAGAACAGGAGTTGAAATCGATTTCTCTTTGCCAACATTGCACGATATCCGGCCCATAAGGAGAGGTACACTTCCCCAAAAGTTTGCACATTTATGTAAGCTCAATGGTCAATCTCTAGGGTTAGAAGTTCTCCAGCAAAGTTTTCTTCTGTGAGAATGAAATATGCAGGCACTGATACTTAGCAATGTGCTGTTTGCTAAGAAAAATTCTGAAGTGTATATTCTTTGAAGAAATGTCATGGCATTATTTTACATACTACTACTTAGCCTGACCAACTACCGTTACTACACCTCACAGGCTGGAATGGTACTGTGAATTTGAGATATTTTTGTCTGCAAGGATGCTTTTGTTGCTCATGATTATTCTTTACAAACATTTCATACAATGTTTACTTGAGCTTATTTTGACTAAATGTGCAGCACCAATCTCAAGAACTTCAAGAATCTCAGAGCTTTCCTTGGAATGAATTGTTAAATGAGATAACAAAGACTAAATTCTGTTAATAATTGTTTTTAAAAGGGATGTATGATGAATGGTAAAAATAACCCTCAGGAGCTTGATCTAAAACAGTCATTAATGCCATAACCAAAATACAAATATGCCAAACTCTACTTCATACTTACTGTTCTGGAAAAAATTGTTATTTTGGTACTTTCTGTCAGGAATAAATTTGCACATAAGGGACATGTAACATTTTCAATGAACATTTGCTGCTCTAACATTTCATATAGTTAGTTTGCTAGAGTGGGCTTCACTGTATTCCGACTATACTCACACCTTGTAATATTTTTTCTGATTCAATTCATACAAAAAAAACTTCTACACTCCACTTGAATAGATATGTGCAGGGTTATGGAAGGCACAAGTGAAAGCGTTTGACCTTCCGAAGGGCTATTCTTGCACGGAGGTTTAAGCTAACAAAATTCTTTTTGCATGAGTACACTCTTGTGTCTTTGATAGCACTGCACACACCTTGCAAGATTGAGCAATGTACAATGTAATGGTTGTTTTTATTGTTCGACCTTTCAGCCACGCTCACATGTCTAAACATCTCATATTAAATTCAGCCAATGTTTGCAAAGCATGTATATTTCTCTCTGTCCACTATTAGGTTACATTACTGACAACCCAATAAAGCCATCAGAAAAGGAGTCTCAACAACTCGCTTCACTTAAAGAAACATACTATTGAAGGAATCTATAAAAAAAATATGGTGAGAACTTATATGATTATTGGCCAAATAGCTACCGTGATGTGCTAACATTTTGCTGGAGGCCTTTCAACCCAGGTTTTGTGCATGAGTATGCTTGACCATAACACCACATGGCAGTGTGCATCCAAAACATTCCATAGACACAAAAGACTCTTTTGCACAGTGCACTGCTTTAAAATAACACATATGAACGTAGAGTGAACCATTTGCAAGTGTTTGAAGATGTAGTTTTATGAATTACTCAATTTGGTCATCTGTTTATGAACCCTGGCTCATGTTCTAGTCCTACATAAGTTTTCAAAATTGGGCCCCAGAGTTTTTTTCATAGCAAATAGTATTGCACCACTTAAAATGCACCAACATCCATACTAATAATTCACCGATAGATCTTCATAAAAAAAATCAGATGGTATGACTAGACTTGCTTAATGAATGAAACACTAATGTGATGCTTCCAATCCACATAGTGCAGGATCTAGATGTAACAACGTGCATCTTTGTGGTAAACCCAAGCTTTAATTCTATAGCAGAGCAACTCAAAAAATTTATTTTGTACTTTATCAGTAACTGAATCAGTATGACATCAAAGAGATATTTAATAAAATGAGCTTCTACTCTAGGATATGTCTGCACTGAGATATGTGGAAGATACCAGGATTGTAAAATAATCCCGCCCTTTTACCTAAGCCCTGCTTAGCCTGCTGTCGAGACTTGCATCTCTCATTTGCATGGGACTAGAAATTGATATGCAGCCCTTAAAGTAATCTTTATAAAAGCGAGATATATGTGCTAGAACCCGGTTTCCTTATTCAAAATATAATTTAAAGAATGCCTTCGTTGCATTTTATGTAATGAGATGGGAAATTATAAATAATCTCACTCTTATACATAAAAAACCAAACTCTTTTTCTCATGCCTTCATCCTATTTATGTTAAAGTGCCTGCTTTCGGTGATAGGCTGTTACTGTAAAAAGAAATGCAAATACTTGTTCCCAAACAAGCTTCTGGAAGCCATTTTGCTTTGAGATATGTGGCATGTCTAAACACACAATCCAGGTACCCTGGTCTGTTTTCTACAGAACCCTCTATAGCCTCCCAGTAGATTCAAAGCTGTAGAGAAAACCAAGAACTTCTGTACAGACTCATTTTCCAGTACAAATGCTATTCTTGTGTACAATCACGAAATGGACCTGCAAATATTTCGTGTCGCAATCTCAACATCGCATGACAGCCTAAGACGTGCCATGGTGGAATGTGCCTTGTTTTAAAAAATATAGGTACATATGTATGCAGACAGGCATGTGTATACAATATATACTATATCCTTCACATGCACATTGCGGGACTAGAAAGGTGTGAACTGACACTGTCACAACTTGCGGTTTCTGATAAAGGATGACACCGTGCACATTGGTAATAGAGAATACCGTGTAACAGCCACAGGATAACCACTTACAAATGCCCAAGTAGAAGATATGTGCAAGTCTGTTTTCTTGTTGGTTTTGGTTGGGCAACTGTACATAAAACCAGCATAGCAACCCGAGGTGGATTTTTCAACAGTTGACCCTTGACTGTTCGGTATGATGCGGAGATATGCTAGGGCCAGAGAGGCGATATGTGGCTGGAACGGCAAACAATGCACACTTGACAAAAAAACAAACAGTGCAGCAGTTCCACCTTATCTCAAAACAGAAGCATAGAGAGAGCAAGAAGGTCTCTTTGGCACTTAGAGTGTCTTCCAAAGATTTGCCTCAAAGTTGGTTCCAGTGTGGTTTTGTAAAGAGATATGTTATATAGAGAAATATGCAGCTGAGGTATTTTTGGAGCCTTTTGGATCTCGCAGAGTATGGTAACTGGCTGGGGGGAATGTGATGTCTTGCTTTAGGGTCCCTCTTTGGATTCCATTCAAATAATCTTTAGAAGTCGATGGTGCTTCAACTGGAGTTCCACTTGCAAAAATCACACCATAATGCTTCTTCCTTGCAGACTAGAACTTCCACAATAAAGACAATGTTCAAACAACTCAATGCATGAATAAGGTTGGATCTTGAGCTCTCTGTAAAATAGAATGTTCAAACTGGAACTGGAATTTGTCAGCTTAAAAATTCTACTTCCTCTTTCTTCAAGATTAAACTTATGAGCTGTACTCCACTGCCATGCTTCGCAGTGAACCAGACCCAACATTTACTCAGGAAGTTCTGCACTCATACACACTATAGGTTCCTGTGCAGGCCTCAAGAAAGATTACAGAAGAATTATTAAACAACAAAATAATGGTTTGGCTAGCATCCCTCTCTAAACACCTACAGGGTAATCTCTGACAAGTTTCAGATGCTTTGACGAATTCAAAAATGAGGATGCAAGTGGAACTGAGAGAAATTTCTGAACCTAAAAATGCCAATATTAAAATGTCTTCACTGGTGAGTGCAGGACAAAAACAGACATCTCCAGTGTCAACAAGCTACCTCCTCGAAGGATAAGATATGTATACATATACCTCAAGCTGCACCTCACTCTTCAATGTGTCTTTTGGATAGATATGATCAATTTTGCTGAAGCAGCAACTGCTCCAACTCATCGGCAGACCTCAGCAAGAATGCTGCTGACTCCCGATACCCGGCAATCAACTGCTTCACAGCATTTACTTCCGTCGGATTCAACGAGTACTTGAGGGCCGTTGGTCGCTCTGCGGTTCCGTTACCGGCACACTTCTTGATGCTCAGGTCGGTTGGGCCATTACCAGTGCTCACGGCTAGATGCCTGTGATGCGTATGGTAGTGGTGTCCATTTGTGGTATTCCCGATGTTACTGACACTGCCATTGTTGCCGGTTCCTCCGGCAAAGCAGTTGTGGTGATGGTGTGTGTGGGTGTGGGGTGTTGTGGTCCCATTCATGAAGCTGGTGACGGTTGCGGGTGTTGCGGTCACAACCACAGTTCCATTAGTTGTCGACACGGCATTGCTGCTGCTGATGATGTTGGCGCTGGTGGTGTTGTTGTGGAGTTGGTGGTGGAACTGTTGGTGGTGGTGATGGAGATGAAACGGGCATACCGTGGTGACTTCAACATTGTTACTGGTCGTCACGGGATTGGCTGTCGCCACGGTGACTGCCACGGCGTTGCCATTGGGGGTGGAGCTAATGATCGGAGAGGTGAGTCGGCTAATCAGCTGACTGCTCACGTTGGTGGTCGGAGTGACAGCAACGGGTGTCGAAATGCTGGAATGGCTCGGAGTCACCCCGACCGCAGGGTGAAAACTTGGGGTCGTTGATCTTCCAGCTCCGTCGGAGTCCGTCTGCAAGATGTTAAAGATAGTTTTAATACACTTGGAAATAAAAATGCATCTTAGGATGAAGCAGAGATTTTCACAATACCTTACAACTACAATGGTTGTTGTGAGTTGAAGTGCAGCACTTGGTCATACTTATCTCTTATGTGACAAGCTTTATTGGCTTAAAATGTCTGGCCCGTTAAACATAATCGCTGCTGAATATAAATTATAGCGGGAACTTCTGAAACGCTAAAGCATTTATTTGCCAAACTGTCAACACCACATTGCTCAAGGCTTGAGTATCGTATTTACTCGAGTAATAGCTGCACTATTTATGAACAGGGCCCTTATGTTTACATGGTGTCACAAAAAAAAATATTTACAGGGATTTTTTTAATGCAAAAACACTAAACTAGGCATCGCCGAATGCTCATTCTCTGCCCAAAGGTAGCTCTAAAGGTCACAACCAGATGTCAAAGTTTCAGCCCGAACAAACACCTTATTCGAAAGTTATAAGTGATTTCCTGAAAATTTCAATGGGAAAATGAAGCCCATTTTTGCCCATTTTCGATTTATGGTGCCACAGAGTCCCATGTATTCGAAAACTCCGTCGGCCGCCATTTTCCCATTGAACTTTTCAGAAAATCACTTATAACTTTTGAATAATGTATCGGATCAGGCTGAAACTTTAGCATCTGGTTGTGTGTGTGACCTCTAGCACTACCCTTGGACGGAGAATGAGCATTTGGCGTTGCCTACTTTATTTTTGCGATAAAAAAAACCCCTGTAAATCTTTTTTGTGCGAAGCACATATAGAGCCAATCATCGCAATGCGCATAAATAACGTAGCGAATAACTATATCAAGAACACAAGTCTCCATACAAATGGATCCTTCACAGATGGTATCTTCGCACGAAGACGTTATCTCTGTCCTGTAAACAGCTGGAATCATGCTGTCAATCGCAGTGATTGGCAATCTGTGTGTGCTTCACGGAAAAGCGAACCCTCAGGTTTTCTTCATAAACAGTGTGGCTATTACTCAAATAAATATGGTAAATATTTCAAAAAAGTTTTTGAAGATGACAGCATTAAAATGTTTTAATAGCTCTAAATATAGTTTCTGAATATTTTCGAAATTTTGAAAACTATTAAAGAGATTTCTGATAAAATTTTCAAAACGTTTGTGCAAATCCAATCGAAATTTGTAGGAAACATTTTTTGCAAGCATTATCTACAGGTGAAAGCAACAAAAATTAAGTAACTGCTACAGTGCCTTTCATGCTGCATCATGTAGATATCTCTGTGCTCACAGGATGAACAGACATGCAAGGTGTTTGACCAAATGCAGGGTGAAATTTCGCTGCAAAAATTATGCATTGCAGAGAAAAAGGCATGATATATTTGGATACACGTCAGACTGACTTGGCACGTGACAGGAAAAGGTTCAACCTCTCGTGTTTCATTCATGCCGATTTGGTTTCTAAACACGTCTTGTCATAATTAGGTGGAAAGCATATCAAAAGCAACAACGAAAGAGTGAGTTAGTCCCACCCATGTATTATATCACACCCACTCTGAGTGCAAGTCCTAGAGTGGGCCACACTGCAATGTAGGAAGGCAAGGTGGTGCCACCTAGGGGTTGAAATTGCACACTATAGCAAACTGCTTACATACAGCTCCAAGAGGTGGCGCCTGCCACCAGGGTCTTAACATAACTGAATAGACTTGAAGTTGAGCGATATGTTCAGATTCACTGAATGATTGTTCACATTCACTATATGGTTTTAAAATGTTCATGTGAGAGACTGGAGTCAACAGTATTTGTTAAGAGCAGTGGAGAACTTGCATTTAATGATGTGACTTTCTATGCACTCTGATTTTTGAGTCCACTTGTAGTTCTCCAAATATTTTCACCCTTGTTTCCATTTTGATATATTTAGGATGGTGCTGAACATGACGATTACATCTTTGACAACTCCAGTTTCTTTACCTGGTTTGAATTAAGATTTTGTAGGATAATATATTAACCCTGAGCCTTATAAGGATTTTTCTAATACTTCCACAAGTCACACGTCGTCTGAGGGCCTTGCGAAAACATGCTAGCTATAATTGACTACCAATCAAAATGATTCATTAACAACAAATCTTGCATCTGCAGGGCTGTCACTATATTACAGCTGCCATCTCTTCAAAATACCTAAAAAGATATGAATTAAAGCTTGTCTTAAATGATGACCTGAAGTTGTAAAAAAAAAAAAAAAGACTTCTCTCCTTTCTCAATAGAGTAGAATGTTACTTTGGTGAAGTCTCTTTTTTTCAGGCAAAATCTTCATTAACTCACTATCTTGCCAATTTCATTAGCTCAAATGCCTTTACTAAACTTACTCAAACAAAATTGGCATTATCCCTCTTGAGTTTATGAGTGCAAAAGAAACAGGGAGGTTTTCTGAGGTCTGACTTTAGGATAAAAAATAACATGTCACCATTTAACAACTTATCCTATTCGCGTCTCCAGCTCGACGCTCGCCCTCCCGTGGCGGAAACGGGAAGCGCTCTAGTGAGGGCATGGCCTCCGAGATCCCCGAAGCGCGCGAACGCTTCTCCGGCCGTCCCATTCGTGCGGAGAGGGCGTAATTGAAAAAAGAGAAGCAGGCGGCGTGTCTCCGCGGGGAGGCGCTCCCAACCCAGTCATCGACAGCATGGCGCGAGGCTGAAGAGTTGAAGAAAAAGTCTTGTTACGTCGAGTTACTGCAACTTATAATTAAAAATGTTTGGGTATTGTGGTAGAACGATGAATAGCTGCTCCGGGGACGTAGATAGAAAATTTGTGATGCTTATTTAATTATTTAATTTGAGATATTCATCTGGACATGTTGCGGCTAGAGCTACAAGCGTGCCTTTTGATATATTTGATTGCAATTTGTAGCACGTATAAAACTAAAAAAAAAATGAAAAGCTCCGTATATAAAAATAGTACTTCCCTAAATAAAAATACTCATGTTGCAATATATTTTTTTTTACCTTCGCATGTTGCTTGGCGTAGCTTTTTGAGCCTCACGAGGTCTGAAACTATATAGGAAGTCCGTGTTGTCCTTGTTTTAATATTTTTAATATTACGCAATTTTGCGGGTCGTATTGCGGTGTTTGCTTCTACTAGAAGTACCTTTAACCCGAGGTCACTCTGCTTATACATTATACAAAAGACAGTCTGCAGATATCAGTCACCACGATATCCGTGGTTCAAACGCTGCGTGCCAACTCTCTAATTGAACTGCCTTGTGGCATTCGAAGCTGAGATCTCGTGGTGACTCGAGTGTGAATCTGTTCGCAGACTGTCTTTTGTATGATGTACAAGCAGCGTGACCCCGGGTTTGGAGAAAAACCTTTGGCGGTGAGGTACAAGCACCTCGCAATGGTTTCGCCATTTTTTTTATAAACCTAGTGATAATTGTAGGTACTTATTGAAAAGGTGGGGCGTTATCTTGTAAACATCTAGTTTTTGGCACATGTAGCGCAGACCACCGTATCCCGTAATGCACTTCGTGATATAACTTAATTGATATGCAAACAAACAATGGGATCTCAGGAAAAAGAACTCTGGTTTATCCGCTATCCATTTCCGACAGCCGGCGCAGCCCGACCCGAAGCTAACTTTCACGGGCACGCTGCGCTTTATTTTAGCCCAGTATGAATAGCTCACAAATTGCACGGCATGGCAGCTCGCTTGCAACTGCTACACATAGGTTGATTACGATGCTTACAGTAAATACTGTAAGCATTTTATTCTTGCTGATATTATTATTCGACCAATCTGCAGGCGTAGGAAGCTTGTTAAGAAAAATCACCCGATCTTCCTGTTCTGCGACCAAACACGCGCGGAAAGAACGGAAAAAACAAAAATGACAAGTAGAAGTAAACAAAACAACGTGTCGCAGTTGGAAAGGAAGGGACACATCGCGACGGGATTGGACAAAAGACGGGCAAAGTTCTAAATTAGCCACTTTCGCTGCGCACAACCGTAAAAAAAAAACAAAAAACAGCAATGTTGTCGTTGCTTGCGGTGGTCTGCGAGAAATTGTTCAGGAAAAGTACCCCTCCGGGAAACCTCTTCACCCCCATTGGGGATGCAAGCACTCGTGCGTACAGATGGTCTACGCCGGCGAGGGTGCACACGTTGTTTAGGCGCGCGTATGTGCGTGTTTGTGGTGAGAAGCGCTTGTATGATGGCGGCGCCGCCGGGGACAAAAAGAAACGCCGTGCCGCTAGTCCTCTGGAAGAGCATTCGCTGCACACACCGAACCATACAAAAACATATACCCAGACACACATGCTTTACCATCTGTTTATCCCCCCACTGTGGTTCCTCTACCAACCCGCGAACATAATTCCAAAGAACAAGCCGTTAAAAAAGAAAAAAGAAAGTAATGGTCGGTTTGGCTTGCTTTGGCCCCCCTTGTAGATGTGAATACAAGACCCGTACCCTGCCCGGTCCCTACAGATTGCAATCAAATATACCAAAAGGCGAGCTTGTAGCGCTAGCCGCAACATGTCCAGATGAATATATCAAATTAAATACAGTAATTAAATAAGCACAACAAATTTTCTATCTCCGTCCCCAGAGCAGCTGTTCACCGTTCTACCACAATACACAAACATTTGTAAGTATAAGTTGCAGTAACTCGACGTAACAAGACTTTTTCTTGAACTCCTGAGCCTCGCGCCATGCTGTCCATGACTGGGTTGGGAGCGCCGCCTCGCGGCGAGCGACGGAGTTAGCGCAATTACACTCTTCTGCTGGGGAGCGAGACGATTGGGACGGCCGGAGAAGCCTTCGCGCGCGCGCTTCGGGATCTCGGAGGCCATGGTGAGGGTCCCCCGATTCTCCTTCTAAGCGGGCACGGCGGAACTGCTCGCGATCATGGCTCGCAAAATGTCATATGACTCATATCCCTTCACTGTCCCAACGTAGTGCTGCAGCAGGTATGGGACTTTACCTTACTGGAAAGTTTTAGTATTGCTCATAGAAGCAAATGCAAGCGGTGTGCGTTTGTGTAAAAGTTGCGTGCTCCAAAGTTGGTGCGTGCGGCACATCGCCATGCGCCATCCAAAACCGCAATTTTGGGCTCTGCGCATGTGCAGTGTGGAACACGCAAAGCTAACGCAAACACACAGTGCTTGCGTTCACTCGTATACTTAATACTCACAACTGTTTCACCGGCTTCAAATGCAAACGAAACGTGCTGCAGTGAGCAGACGTGCAAGCAGGTAGGCGTTCCTTTGAACTGGAAAGGCTGAGGTTGGCAAAACGACGTAGCGTAAAAATGAAAGTAACTACATGTCATAAAAAATTAATAATTAAAAAAAAAGTTTTTTTTTTTGGGGGGGCATTTGGTCTGGAAGGATAATGGCGGCGACCTTGGACGTTTTGCCGAGTGTCAAAAGTTGCGACTTTGATAGCAAAATATACCTTGTATATTTTTGGAATTAATGTAAAAAATTAATGTAATTTTACATGGATTTTTCACATTAGCTAGAATGTTTTCATTGATTTCAGATTATTTTTATTTTATTACTTGGTAATTAAAAATGTTGAAATTGGCACCAGTGACGATAATTAGCACACTTTTAAGTGTCATATTTGTTTGCACGTTTGTTATTAGATCAAAAGCAACGAATTATATTAGAGCTTGAAAAATTACGTATTCAAATATTTGAATTGTAATAGTATTATTATTGATAGGGTGGCAATGTATGCCCCCAACTAAAGCCAAGATCATGAAAATACGCCATTAAACCATAATAGTCTTTCCAGAAAGGTATAATTTTGTTTTCTTTTTAGCATATGAAAAACTCTGACATCATTATCAAGATAGACAAACAATCAAACACTGGATGTAATACAAAGTCCTATGCGTCACGCGTTGCTATAAAAAACACACACACACTTCAGCTGTCTGACTTGGATTCCGTCTTTGGGTTGTTGCAGTGAGAACAGCGCTTATTAATTAATATATTTTGTGGACATAATGTAAAATTTGGAATAATTTTTTTTTATTCTTGTGCTGGGAATAATGTTAAACCAATTATTCATCTAAATGCCCAAAACCCATTAAAAGGCCCACAGTTTATTATTTCTCATGACAACCATCTGAGCGAGAAAAGGCAGCGAGAATGCACAAATATCAGCAATGATTTTTTCAACAATTTCAACAACTACAAATATCAGCCTGGATCGAACATGTATATAAAAAAATAAAGTTTACGCAAAAAACTTGTCTAACTAAATAATTACAATGCGAGACACATCTTGAGTTATGAAAGAATCTAAAAGTAAGGCCCCCATATCGAGAAATTGAATCCAAAACAGTGGTCAGTTTTGGTTTCGGTCCAAAATTAAAACGCGCATCCTTGCATAAATATTATGCTAAACACCATTCTTGTTTCGAGGGTAAAGAGGTGACTTGCCCTCATAACACCCTAGCTTCCTCCTATTACCAGAAATAATTTGTGTCGCTCAGTGAAGCCAGCACACTAAACAGGCTCAACAGCGGCTCGCATCTCCGACCCTCACTATAACCGCCATTTTGGAAAATGAGTGGCGCCACCTATAGTTAGTTGGAGTCGCAAATAGTTATAAAGTCTATGGTGCATAATGCATCCTCTAGTTTTCAACTGCATATAAGAAGTGTAGACATGCTGCACCTTGTACACTGTACCAAGAAAAGGCCAGAAAAACAAAAAAAGCTGACAACCACGACACCGTCTCATCACACTTTTCAGCATGATTGTTCAACAGCTTGCCTGCGCCGTAACTCTCATTTCAGTCTGTTACCTTTGCGAAACAGCAGAATGGAGAGAGGGGCTACGAGGGTACATCTGCACATTGAAGTAGGTGGCACGCCACCTCGCAGCCACCTTCCCCCTGTAGCTTCATCAGTTTTCAGTTATTGCCTCTAAGCAGCACAACACGTATCGTAGGTCACGCGCTCTGCTGTTCGCATTTTATTCATACTCGGTAGTACCTCTAACTTACAATCGTACAAATGCAGATAGATGTGATGCATTTGTATACAAACACCTGTCATTTCAACAGCTGTTTCAATCATTGCCCAGATACTATGCATCCCCTACCTTACTACCATATGAGTACAAGTAGATGTCCTGTATTCGTGGATGGAAGACTTCCCTCAACGGTCATATGCTTACCACCAAAGGCTGCAGTCCGAGACGCATCCTCTTGGCATTGTTGGTCTCATTCTCGCAGGCGGACGCCAGGATCTGTTCGGCCAACGGAGAGGTCAGGTGAGGAACCGCAGCACGACCCTGTGTGGGAGAGAGAAAAAAGAGTAACGAGTTACGCATGGCGACTCCAACGGCTGTAAAGGCTGGTTCACATGTTTGTGAACCAGCCTTTACAATGCAAATGTGTGTACCAGCCTTACGCGTCTTTGTTGTCGTTAGCTTTCCAAGACAGGTTCAGAGCCGGCTGCGGTTGACGTCTCAAGTCGAATACTGCTGTCTGTTTTTAGGAGCAGAAATCTGTGCCTGCCCGTGGTCCGTGATTTGAACCCACAGCCATTTGAAACTTCGACCGTGTTTCTCACACACTTCCGAAAGCTCGCTTTCAACCCGAACTAAGTAGACTGCACTCAGAGAAAGTATGGGGGACACTAAGCCCAAAAGTTTACTGCTATACACCTTCTGCCTAAATGATATTTGTATATCACGGAGCCTGCAGGGTGATATTTGAAGAAAAACACTCTTTCAAACTCGGGCACTAGAGAAGGTAGAAAAGAAGGAATGAAAGAGGACATGGCTTCCCCCCCCCATGCACCTTCTGCATTACATACAATTGGAATCAATGACTCACGACAGGCAGATCACGGTTTGATAGGAAATTTACTGTAAAGTATGATGATGCTAATGTGGCCTGTAAAGTACAGCAAGTCCCTAAAAACAACTTACAGCATATTTTTCATCACGAAAATAAACAATTTGCATCATCGAATGCTCATTTTCCGCCCAAATGTTGCGCTAAAGGTTTGAACCAAATGCCAAAGCCCCAGCATTGACCATTATTTCATTACAAAAATATACTAAGTTATTTTCTGAAATTTTCATTTGGAAAATGGGGCCCATATTTTGTGACTGGTGCTATAGAGCTCCATGTATTTGAAACCTCTGTCGGCTGCCATTTTTCCATTGAAGATTTCAGAAAATCCCATATAACTTTTGAATAAGACAACAGTTATTGATGAAACTCAGGCATGTGGTTTGGACCTCTGGTGCTTCATTTAGGCAGGGAATGAGCGTTCAGCAATGCAAAGTTTATTTCTGCAATAACAAAATCAACAAAATTATGAATTTCTGCTTTTCTTGACAAATTACTGTAATGTTTGTGAGGACTGTAACTGCCTTTGTATCATAGAATGCAAATCAATTAGAATGTTGATAATTCCTTGAAAACTTCTATTCCATGGAATATCCCAGAAAGTTGGCCATGCACCAAAAGAAGTTGTCCCCTAGTATAGTATATATCCTATTCCACCAAATATCCAAAAAAGTTGGCCATGTGCCAGAGAAAGTTGTCCCCTGAAATAGGGGATAACTTTGTCTGGCACATGGCCAACATTCTGGGATATTCAACAGAATAGGCTGTTTTCAAGGAACTATCAAAATTCTAATTGATTTGCATTCTATGTCCAAACTGCGGCTCATGAGCCACATGCGGCTCTTTCCAGGTTCAGGTGCACCTCATGTTTCACTGGTAAGCAAGCCCCCCTTCCCCTCCTCTGTCACCAAGACGAAACGAGTTTTAGAATTTAAACAAAGGCTCACAGTCTTGGCAGCATTGTTACATACTACAGCTACAGCTGAACTGCTTTTAAACACATAGATGTGTACAATGAGTCTGTTTCCTTTGTTCTTCTAGAAAGGATTTCACACCGTGTATGCACTATGGGCATCAGGGGCAGTGGCTGATGAGCAAACTGTGCATTCCTTTTTGCTTAGCGGTTAAAGAAACATTTTGGTGCCCGGTGTTATTTGTTGCAGTCGACAATTATACTCGTTTCCTTTGGAGAGGACTGTTCCCTCCCTATAGTTTCTTGCTAAAAGCGGCTGTCTAAGCTTTTGTAGCTTTGTCTACGGCTCTAATACAATGCCACTCTGGCCGCCCCTGGTATATACCATATTTATTCGAATATAAGGCGAGGTTTTTTTTCCAAAATCCGTAGTCTCAAAGTCATACCCCGCCCTATATTCGAAGCTCAGCATAGCAATATGACGATTTTTTTTCTTTTTCTTGGGTCCTTCAACTGCCCCCTCGCCTTATAATCGTGACCGCCTTATATTCAAATAAATACGGTATGATTAACAAAAGAGTCAGAATATACATTAATTGTGCAATATTTTGTTAACCACAAATAAGTACTGGCTGGATGATTAAGTTGAGATTTTTGCACAGGAAATAAATTATTGACTACTTGAAAAATGTAACGAGATACATCCGCCCCCGTAGTATAGACATACCAGAAGTATACCCGAAAATGTGTTTCGATACAGAAATAGAAAACATAGTAGATCGCGATACATAAATATAAATACAATATGAATTTAAAAAATACTATAGGGGTACATTTGTATCGGGATACTGCCCATTCCTGCAGGCATCATACATTCGGTATTTATCCGAATGTATATATGCCAAAAACGGGCAACCCTAGCTATGAGCGCGCTAGGGCAGACACTCACGTCCCAACCATTGAGGTCTCGGGTTCGCTTCGTGCGGCGGCAGGACTTGAGGTACGTCCGGATGCGCTTGCGGGAGCGCTCCGAGAACTCCGGAAACTGGCGTGAGCACGAGTCGATGATGGCCTGAATCTTCTCCTTGGGCTGCCGCGAGATCGGGACCATGCGGTCCAAGTTCTCGTCCACAAACAGCCTCACAAACATCTGTATAAACAAAGCACGGACGTCGTCAGGAGGAGTGACGGAACAAGAGACGTTTCCTGCGCAACGACGACGACAAAGGTCAAGCATAGGTCGAACATATTCACGAGGCTTTTGCTGTTCTTAGTTCATGCAGAAAAAGTGGTCTTTCACACTTGTTTTACCGAGACACTCTGTGCCTGCGTGCTCTTAGAATAATGGGCGGCTTTTTGAAAGTCAAAACGTATGGAGCTGTCAATGCACAAACCGCGCAGCATGTTAACAATCTCTGCACTACTCTTCAGCAGATGCAGCTTTTTACATAAAGAGGACACTCGAGTTTGTAGTAAACGTAAGGGCACAAACGAGCTGGTGTACGTTAAACATGATTCAAAAACCCCGAGACTGCAGGTAACAACACACACACTCAAGAGTCCCATAGTGGACTTTTGAGTGTATGTGTCGTTACCTGCAGTCTCGGGGTTTTGGAATCAAGTTTGTAATGTGGTCTATTGTTGCCATGTAACTTGCAGCTGAGTGTTAACTTGACCTGTTTATGCAAAGTAGACTTTCTACCAGTTGTAAAGGCCTGTTAGAACGAAAACAATTGGGCAGTTCAGTAAGCGAGAGATGTGTAGAGGCCAACAAACAAGCAGACTGGAGGAAACACTTTCCCCTTTTTGTGGAGAGCAGCTCCCAAAATCACTCTTTTTGGGTGATGACGAGGTAAAGGTGCGAGTGAGAATAAAGACAAGGACATTGGGACGGGTTTTCTGCCTTGCAGAAGGTGCTGCATGGACGTTGGCCTTCAACCCCTTTACTGTTTGTGACAAACTCCGCTCATCACGAGTGATAGCCTGTTTTCTAATTTATGATAGCTCACCTTGTCGCACCTTTGGGTGCCGTTTCCATGTTTTATGACAAGGTCAGCTTGTCAAACGTATTCTCACAAGCTGACCCAATTAGTTCATCAAACCAAATTAAACCATATTGGTACAAATTTCACAAAAAAAATTACCATTAAGGGGTTAACATGACTAGGAATTTGTGAACAATAGCAGACATCTCTCGCCATTGCTGACACCTTTTAATTACCGCATTTAATCGATGGAAATTTTTCATTTTTTTATTTTCATGTGGCATTTGAAATTTACAGAAGAAACATATGATTATGGAAATTCAGAAGGTGCTCAGGAATGCTTCCGGAGTCGCCTTCTGACAACATAGCTAGGCCGAACTTGCCGTGGATCGAGGATATGGCCGAATTGAAAGAAAGTAGTTCATGATGGCATGTGCTGGTGCCAGATACAAAATGCCATAGGATGAAAAAACACTCACATTGAATGCCTTGAGCCTTTCAGGGTCATAGGAATTAATGTCCAGCTTGTCCTGCTCGTCGTCGTCGTCCTCTTCGTCCTCCTCCTTTGTGCTGGCAGAGAGGTCGTCAGGTGTGTGTTCTCCACCTTGGTGTGTGGCCGGCGGACTCTGCATGCAAACAAATATTTTTGAGAAACACCGCTCACTTCAACTTATGGTTGGTTCACACATTTGCGTTTGAGTGTGCTCGAGTCTGTTGTGTTCCTTTGTTAGTGCTTACAACAAGAGAACACGCAGGCATACACTTGGCAGCCTATATCTGAAACACTTACGAACCTCGTATATATTTGTATAATTTTTTATGCAGCACCAGTCTTTCGCTGTAAACTGGAAATAATAATTCAAATGTTAGAGGCGACTATTTCTCATAGGTGGTGCATAGATTTGATCTATCACAGGCAGCTACACCCTTAGTATAAATACATGCAGGTTGAAAGTGTTTCCAGGGTCACTTGATAAATAGTGCCGGTGTGTCGTCTCGTAAGCAGTCACAGAAGAAGACAATGCACTCGAGCACATTCAAACCCCAATCTGTGAACAAGCCTTTTCATTTTGGTTGTGCAAAGCCGATAGGATCCTCTAAAACAAATGTTGGTAACCTTTCTAGACGCTGGTCGAGTGGTCGGGCGGTGGACGACTAACATGATAGTTCGAGGTGAGAAGGGAACAAAAGAAAGAAAACTAAAATTAAAAACAATACCAGGATGGTATGTTCTTCGGTGACTTGACAAAAAGCATCTGTCTGTTTATGTCACTCCCACACTGGACCCATGCATGACTGAAGTCGTGAAAGCAAGAAGCCTGAAGTTAGCTGCTGCTACACTAAGGAACCACACTGAAGGACCAAACGAGTTCGATTAGCAAATATTGACATTGGGTTTTCTTAGGAAGTGACTGTTGCATCTGAATGTATCAGCAAAGCATAGATATAAGAGCACTTACAGAAAGAATATGAGTAAATGAAGGTGATTGTTCTGCACACTAACAAAGATCCTAGGGTTACCATCTCCAATGTGTCTACATTGCTAACTAATTGTGTAAATCTGAATTTGTAAAAGTCAAAGGGTTCATGTATTTAGGAAGAGGCTGCAGTTAAAAGACTTCTATGCCTTGAAAACAAATTTTTAGCTAACTGCTTGAGCTTTCTGGATCTGGGTTGTTGGCCACAAAATCACAACCATTTGTGAATTAAATGGTGACTCAGTTTCTCCTCCAAAGTATATGTAAGAACAAATTACAAAAAAAAAAAAAAAATTATAAAGTTCCTTTATTGCTAAATATTTTTAACGAACATGCCCAATTTTCGTTATCATTTTATCAATTTTGGAATGAAATAAGAAAAAAAACAATCAATCAGAACAAAGTAGGTTTTGAGAAGCACAATTTTACATTCGTGGTGTCAAATCCTTTACACTGAATATATGCCAAATACACTGGTGCCTGCATCAAGATTTGTTTTAATATAATTAATTTGAAATAATTATTTTGTTGTTTCTCTGTGTCAGCATATCAAAACAGGTTTTGCATGCCCCAATAATGAGACCAGTGTTGTTTTTTGTGCCCCTATGACGAGTCAACTAATTATTGTCAGTTCAGAAATTATTCTTTGAACATGACATTTCTAATGATAGTGAAATTATTCTTGCATGTTTTTTAAAGATATAAAAACGTGACAATAACTTTTTCTTGAGCATATCTTAAATATTTCATTTTAGAGAAAAGCATATAATTATTATGCACGAATGTGCCAAGTGTTATTTCCCCTTAATTGTGTGCACTTGCTAAATACTACGAGAAGGCAGACGCCTCAGTCAGGCAGAAATGCCTTTTGTCTCTGCCTCTTTAGGGGTTGGCACAAAAAAAATAAAATTTTGCAATAAAAAAAATGTTCTAGGGAGCACGTTTTCAGCAAATCCGCTCTCCCACAACATGCCCGAGTTGTGCAGTTAAACCTTACCAACAAATGACATTGTCTGCTAATGTTTTAGCTAGCTGCCATTCACCCAGTACCACCGAATGTTGTGGCAAGGTCAGCATGACAGGGCAGTTCTTATGACATATAATTTCCTTGCCTTCCTATAATCGGTGCATTGCCACATACATCCAATAGCCCATACCTCCGTCTTCACACTGTCTCACTTACTTTTGATGGCTAGTTTTCGTGCAATATTTTTGTATTGATGATGTAATGTATTAATGTGATGATGTGATGTAAGCATACTGGCAGACAATTAGTTCAGAGACACTATAATAATTTGAAAAGGTGCATAACACAGCAGTGAACCAGTGAGCCAGTATGTGTGTGGCTCGGTAGAAAAACTTACTGCATTGGCTTGTTGCCTTCACCTCTGAACTCAAACGTGAAAAGAAAGAAGCCTCCAGTGCAGCCAGATTAGATACACCTTTCCAATGCTTATTACCCAGGTGAAAATTGCTGCCACTGAGCTGCAGAGGCATGCGCAGCATTCAATATTCCGCAAGAGAGCTGCTGCACATGGTCAGAATGTGCAGTGCAGAACGCGAAGATGGCAGTATATAGAAGGTGACTAATGAAATGGGTATCAGACAGTCTGCTGGACATTGATCTTTTTAGTAACTAATGGACTTTTCATTCCCACTGCTATTTCACCATTATAGGCTTCCAGAAGAGTCCTTTTCTAAGTGTTCAACTATGTCACATTCAAATATAATTGTGCTTCATTTAGATTGTTCTATTCTCGCATTCGTGCTTTGCTTAAACTACCCCGCATACACAAACTCAGATTTGTTACGTCACGGCACAGTGGTGGTGCATTGGGCGCACTTTCGGCCTGGGGCTGTGGCGGAACTCACGATACAGGACGTGCGTTCTTGTGTTGTTTTGGAAGAAACCATACAAAAAGCTTTCAGCCTTTCCACTCTAATGAAGAAGGAAGACCAGCGGAAGTATACTATGGTGGGACGACCTCAAGGACGACGTCTAGGACGACCTCAGGGACGACTTTTAGGACAATCTTGAGGACAACACCTAAAGGACGACGCGTAGGACGACCTCAGGGACGACGTCTAGGACGACCTGAAGGATGATGCCTAGAACGACCTCAAGGACAACGTCTAGGAGGACCTCAAGGATGACTTCTAGTACGACCTCGAGGACAACATCTAGGACGACCTAAAGGACGACTTCTGGGACATCATTTTAATGCTTCTAAAGCTGGGCATGTGCAATCCCTACCAATGCACACCGTGGCAGGCTAGCAGGCGCACGCACATAAGAGTTTTTACCAATATGCTTTGTCTGGCATGCCGCTGTGTCCACACCAATTTAAGTGCAAATAAATCACTTATTACTTATTGCTATTTGGAAAAAGTTTCTTCCATTTTGACTTTTAAAAGAACAAAAGAAAAAGCAGAAATAATGAACACAGGTTGGTAGAACATCGCTAACATAAACCCTTGCTTAATAGCCACAGTTAGCTTTTGAAATTTTTTTTTATTACACCAGACGCGCGAGTGTGCAATACAGTGGTGTGAACTTAGCGAGAAAGTCGCTAAATTTAGAGCGTTTTCAGTCGTCCTAACGACAATTTTGTGTTTTTGGAGTCTTAGCGACTTTTTTGGGGACTTTTTTTTTTTCTAGTTATGTAAATTGTTACTAAAGCTACGTGAACGGGGGGAAAATATGTCAGTCGGATAGCTCTCCGGTGGCTTCCAGGGGACAGCTCTGGATGTCACTCATTTTTGTTAATTTTTATTCATCCGGTTGTGGGTGAGGTGACGTTCTCCGACCCCGAAGCAATTCCCTCGCTTTAACGCGGGTTAAAGCGAGGATTTTGTTCGATAAGGATGAAGCAGAACAGGCTTCCACTGTTTTGTTCATGGACCAGGATCTTCTCGCCAACGCCTTGAGTCACTCAAGGTGTTGGCGAGTCCTTGGGAATGGGACGGCCGACTCCAACTATTCACTTGTCTCGTCACAAAAAAAAAAAAAAAAAAACTTTTACGTTTTATAAAAAAAAAAGAAAAAAAAATCCGAAAAAGGTCCTCATCATCATCACCACTCAGCGACTTTTCGCTAAAACTGGCGACTTTTAGGTCGCGTCCTGGTGACTTCGCCCAAAAAAACTTAACAGCACTGGTGCAATACCACTTCAAAGGTGTGTTTTTCGCCTAAGCTCACGTATGCGCTGCGGCGAAGCGAGCCACGTGATCGCGGTGTCAGCTCTGTGGGTATTGCTTCTCCGCAGTGCACCGGTGCGTGAGGAGAAGCGCACTCAAGGGGGCTAATTCGCCGCGATCAACATTTCGAAACGTACGAATATCGCAGTTCATTTCGAAGCGAATTTCAAATAGCTTATTATTTGAAACCACTATTTGACAATTCAAATATTTGCAGCCCTACTTTTCGCACATATTACTTAGACATAAAAAAATGTACTTTCTTAATATTCAGCAAATTTCTCATCTACAGCTGGGAGACAAGTTGCCCATTGAGACAAAGTTCTAGGCCGTATAAACATACACACCCCAATTTTTTTATTCTTTTATTTTAAGCGACATTGTCAAGAATGTCACGTGCCAGACACTTTCAGTTTCCTTTTCGAGAACAGCTCCCTTCTGGCGCAGACGAGGCGCAAATTGTGCACAAATACAGCCTTTGGGCCAGCGTGTAGCTAGTTATTCGTTCTGGTGCAATTTGGCGCAAATGGCGCAGCAGTTCCACCACTGTAACGGACCATGCGCGGACTGCGTTTAGTGCGTCATCAAGTTCAAACGGCCGCCTGATCGTTCGAGCAGTCGTCTGCTCTCTCAAACGTTTCTGCTTGTTGTCGTCTGCTCTTTCAAACGACAGCGGCCCATAGACCAAACGTTGACCCGGCAATAGACCCTTTCCGAAATTCAGCGCCATCTGGTGGTCCGCAAAGCAGTTTAGGTTTTGTCATATCAATGGCGGAAAATAACTGGTATCGCCACCGTCACTTTTGCAAGTCAACGGCACACGAGGAATTGTTCAGTGTGAGTTCTTTCTCGATCACTCTCAGTTCGATGGTGACCAAGAACCTGCATACAGAACAAAGCTCCAACCCAATCAGATGCCTCGAAAAAATTCTATACACCAAAGTGCTTTAAAGCTAATTGTGTGCCACCCGCATGATTGACTGAATATAGTTATTAGAAATAAACGCTTACGTAGCTCTTCTGTTCCATTTCTACGTCGCTTCGTACTGACCCCCCAAATGTACAGGCCTCGCATCATCCCTTAGGAGCATCTTCAACGTCTTCCTTTATCAGTCACTAGAAGGCCGCCATTGGTATGGCACAGATGCCGTTCCACAGATGATGATAATGATCAAGGTGGCCAGATTGAATTTCGGAAAGGGTATATTGCGGTAAGAAGTAAGTGCAGGCCTCAAACGACTTTTAAGTTTGAAGGTTGGTTGGGGTAATTAGGCTGGGTGTAAACAGTAGATACAAGGAGATGTTGATAAGTGTTACCAGTGGCCATCACCGAATTGTTATGCCTGATTCACTCGGTTCGATTTTGCTTGCGATTTTCAGTATCAACGTCGACATCTCAGCTACAGTTCACGCTTTTGCACCTTGAGGGATGTCACGACTGAAAATAGCGAGCAGAACCTCATCGTGCGAATCAGGCTTTAGCGTGCATTCTGCGGCGTCCACGCGGAATGAAACGCAGCATGTCACATTATTCACGCAAAGCTTTGCGGTGTAGCGAGCCTCGTTAATTTCGCTGAGGCCGCTAAAGTAGTCAGGCATTGCCAGCAATACGTAGAATCAACAATTCCAACGCGAAAAAGAGCACCGGGACTCACACCGACGCCGACAACGTCGCAATCCAATGGCTTGTTTATGGGCGATGGCGAACTTCTTGCCCACACTCCATCGCATATGCGCGGTGCCCGTGGCGTCCGCTAGGGGCGCTCCCGTTTGTTTGTAACCCAAATCTGCCGAACTTTAGATTCGACAGAGTTCGGCAAATGCCGAACTGTTGACGAAAAGTTGGGCAAAGATTCGGCGAAAATTCGGCAAATGCCTACGCACGCGCGAGGACGTGACGGGGTCATGGATTGCAAATGGACGCCGTGCAGTCGTGCGGTTACCATCGTGCAGTGTAGTACAACCAGCGGTTACAGCGCGGTTTGGAGTAGGCAGCACGTTGACTGCGCGTTTGTGAGCTAGTGTGGTTCTTTTCAATATTTTCTGCCTCAAGAATAGAAGATCGGCTAGTAATTTACGCAGTCCACCGCGCGAATGACAAATATGATGCGCTACATTCTGGATAACGTAATTTTCATTTGGCCTTTTCAGTGAGGCAACGAGGAAGTTGAAACATTGGCTGGCAATGACTTTAAAACACTCCTCAAAATTATCACAATCCTGTTTTCGGCTCAGAAGTAGTGTGTGCAAAAACAAAACAATATTCCCTTTTCAATTAGCGTTATTTCGCGATTTTCAGGTATCTGCATAAAACTAAACACAACTATTGTGCTCGACGTTGCACATCCATCCTTCCTAACTCTCCCCATCTTCCTAAACGTCCGCGTGTGTCCTAACATTTGAAACCGGCATTTTAAAGGTTAAAAAAGAGACGTTGCGAATATGGGACGCACACTTTCATGCAAATCTGAAGTGAAGCGACTCAAATAAAATATCACGAACATTTACAATAATCTTGTTATCTCTTTTGGTGAAGACTTAGCAAGCGTTGCATTCGTTTTTGCGCATGAAACAGTGACTCCTAGAAAAAGCAAGAACGGAGTGGTGTTGCATTCGTTTTAACAATGTACACACACTTCCAGGCTTGTGCTGATGATGTCTCAAAACCGAAACTCTCGAAGCGTGATTCGTGACTGCGCCACGCCCGCTACTACCCAACCTCGTTGTCGTGCCACTTTTGGAGGCAGTCACTGAAATTGCCACTAAAAACATAAAAAAACGGCACCGATACAATTATCTTGTAGAATATCACCTTATTTAATAAAAACTGTGCCAATATGCATTACATGTTGCATTTAAGTTAAGAACAAAAACATAAAACCTTTTTTCGCCAGAAAAAAACTAAATATCAAGGTTAAGTCTGGTAAGAATGTATTTTTGCCAAATCTTCGCAGAATCTTTAGAGAAGTTCAGCGAAAGTTCGGCTATCGCCGAACTTTCGATTCGATAAAAGTCTATACGAAGGGCCTCAAACACGCGGCCTGAGGGCCGAATGCGGCCCGCGACTCGCTGGGATGCGGCCCGCAGGCAACCGGCAACGAGTCCCGGTTCCCATGTCTTGAGCGCTAGTAGCATGCGCCATCGTGATCTCATCCCGCCGATTCATTTTCGCTCGAAAAGTAGTTCCTCTGTTTTAACGTATTCACATAGTTTTTACTTATCTGTGCTTAATTGCCCTTTGTTTTGCTTCCAAGCTTTTTGTAATATACTAGGCTGGTGGCGCGAGCTCTTTGTTGAAGGATACATCTCGGCTGCGCGAACTTTCGATCAGCAGGAGCAACTGCCGAAGATAGAGCTACGAGCTCGGGATTCTCGCCTTAAAAAAAAATATATATCCATTACAAGGCAAGTATGGGTGCTGTAACAGAAATCGTTAACGGCGAGGTGTCATTTTAGTTATTGTTATCACATCAGGTCAGGGCCCAAAGTAGTCATATAAACGAATCAAATCTAAAAGTGTCACTGACAAAACCGAGCTTACAAAAAGCGTAGAGCACGAGGTCTCTTCTCTTTCAAATCGTTTAACATGGTCCCTTCACCTCCCTCCCTCCCACTCAACACTGGCCCTCGGCTTCCCAGTGTGGGCTATCTGGCCCCCATGCTCAAATGAGTTTGAGACCACTTGGACCCTATACTGACCAGCGTCCGGTCGTACGCCTGGTCGGCGCCCAGCCTCGAGGTCATGTTGAGGGGCTGCTGGTCGCTCCAGCGAACGCCCTCGACGTCTCCCAACGCTGTCGTCGACGGCGCCGCGGGCGTCAGCCCCCCCGCGCCCTCTCGGGGAGATGCACCGCTCTTCCGCGTCGGGGCAACGCCGTGCTCGGCGTCCGAACCGGGCGCCGAGCCGCCCTCGGCCATGGCCACGTCGTCCTCCTCCTTGGCGTCTACGCAGGTGTCGGGACTGTCGTCGTCGTCGTAGTTCGGGCTCCCATCCTCGTCGCTCAGGTCGTCGCTTCCGAACGTCGAATCCTGGATGGAAAGGAACAAGGAAGCATCTTCTGATTAAGTCAGCCACATGTCAGGAACATTCGACATCTGGCTATTGCTCGTGGTAGCAAGGCACACTTTGCAGAAACTTTTAATGAGTGCAGAAATTGAAAGTTTCACCGTAAAATCATGTATACGGCAGGCAAGTTGACCGAAATGCGTCCCTTTGTGCGTGGGAGACGGAGTGATCATATGCGCGACTAACGCAATTAATTAGGCGCCATCCCCGCAGTTGTTTGCTCTTCGGCGGTGGCAGTGGCAGTGGTAGATAGGATACATCCCGGTCGTGGTTTCCTCGTTTGTCGGAGTGGATCTGGTAGATGTTAGCCGATAAAATGTTTTTGTTTTTTAAACTATCCTTCGAGGTATTTGTTTTGTTTGTTTATTTCTCTTGTTGAAGGCTAAGTCCTCGTTCATAAAGCGGTGTTCACATGACGAAGAAATCCACGGTGGGATGTGCGTGAAGTCGACAGCGGGCGCCCAAGTAACTCCCCAACCTTGCCGTTCACACCGACGAGATGCCGGCAGGGAAGTCGGCGCTGGCAGTCCTGTTTAGCGGTTCTCACTTTTGACACCACAACAGACGAATTTAGCAGTCTCTACACTTGGTACTAAAACGTTTAGGGACAACATATAATTTAAAGCAAACTGGACCGCCGCCAAACCGAGATTATTTGTACTGCTTGAGCATTCCTGCCCCACTTCGCCACAGAGCCGACTCACAGTGTCACAAAGCTTGACGTTTTTTGTTTTTCTTTCGCGTGATGTAAGCGCCGGGAAGAAATTCCCCCGGATATATCCTTTGTGGGAATACCGCTAACAAATCAGAGGATTTGCAATACCCGTAGAACAGGGAAGACAGCCATTGCTAGGAGTAGCAGGCGACGCCGACATTCAGCGCCTAAACGCCTGACCCTGACACCGCTGTCCTCTGTGTGAGGAGCAGACGACGGCCTTGCTCGCTCTAATTGCGGGGGACACAGTGGGTACTGGGGTACTGTGGAGTACAGTGGGCCTACCCACTGTATTCATCCATTGAGAGCTTGGTGCTGTGACGTCACAGTGCCCACTGCTCAAGAAACAGACGAATTCGCTCAACGTACACAGTCCCGCACGTCCACTGCATCGGAGCATGCGACAAACCAATTGCGGTTGTTTGCGGAAGGAGCTCGGTAAGTGGCAAGGCCCAGCTAACATTCCTACCCGGAAACACAATTCCACTGATGTGACACCGAGCATGATATTCCAAATGCTCAGCCTCCTGTTGTTTTTACTTGAAAACTATTTTTTTCGCTTTCTAGGATAACATGCTTTCTTTTTTTGCCTCTGAATGGCTCCCAGATAAATTAGCACTGTGATAAAACTAGGTAGAACCGACCTCAAGTACATTTACGGGATAACAAATCTTACAGATGGGCTACACAACGTGTTGTCGTTCTAAGTATCACTGAAATCTGTCTATGGCCTTCCCCACGTTTGATTTTCCGTATATATATATATATATATATATATATATATATATATATATATATATATATATATATATATATATATATATATATATATATATATATATATATATACATATATATATATATATATAGAGAGAGAGAGAGAGAAAACGAAAGAACAGTTGGAGAAAAGATGTTTAAAAGAAGCTAGAGAAAAACGACAGGTACGTTTTCCGCCGCTGCAGGTTTCGATTCCTTCTTCGGATGGATTGAGGGATGCATAAGGCTGAACATTTTAAATTGAGCGGCTGCTTGCGCCATCTAGCCGATCTCTACACGTTGATTCTGTCACCTATTGGTGTAACGTCTAATTATTAGGCTTCTTCCCTAGCATCGAAACCCATTCGTAGCAAGCGGTACAAGGAAAGGTGAGTAGAACAAAAATAAAGTGTAAAGTTTTAAAATAAAAAAGTTTAGAGAACCTTGTTTTTCCGGTACATGTTTGCGAAAGACGCAGTACCAAACTGCAAGTAAGTTTTCTTCATACTCAAGCAAATATACATACAGTTTAAGAAAACGTGACAAAACTAAATACAAAAAAAAAACATAATAAAGTTTTTGTTCCACTATACATTAAATATTCTCAGAACAAAGTCACCTATTTAAAAGCCTTCATACCTATCCTTCCGCATTAATCAACATTTACTGCCAATCCACAAGAAATGGTCATAAAGTCGTCATTCCCTTTGGCAATTATATCATGTTCTTCCGCTATTTTTTTTTGTTGTTCTTCTATTGAAGACGGGCATTGCTCCTTAAAGACCGACTTTATTGACTACCATTATCGAACACTTTTTACAAACCTACACCATGTTAATATGTTGTAATATTACTGGTACTTCATCCCCGTACTCATAAGTATGTTAAGCTTACGTCGTGTACCCACACCCTCAATCCCTATTCTATGACGCTCGGGGTACTGCAACAAATAAATAATTTATAGAGAAAATGTGAAAGATGAAAGAAATATTCCTTCTTTAATTTTCTTCCGAAAATGAGGCCATAAAAAGAAAAAATCACGCCGACAAAAGAAAAAGAAGTAAATTACGTAAATGTCAACAACTGATATTTCGATACTAACGAAGACATAGAACGAGAGCTAGAGCTAAACTTGTTTAATGACTTCATCAAAACATTTTTTTCCTTCTCCTAGACAATGGCGACACGCTAGATTCTTTTCTTTCCTACGTGCCTTTCTAAATCTGTTCGCAAAAATGTAAACAAATCTTATCACTACGTACGCTTCCACGATAAAAGGTACACATACAAAATTCAGGGAAAAGTCACACATAAAACAAATGCAAACAAAATTAGAGGAAGAAAAAACAAAGATCACAATCAAAGCTGAAATTGGAAAATGATTTCTCCAGTGCAAGATGAGAATGCCAGAACTATACGAATAATGAAAAACTAGAAAAAAAAGAAAAAAAAAAAAAAAAAGAAAGGAGAGGAACACAGAGAAGACAATGAAAGCAGAACAGAAGCTTAGTTTTAGTTCGAAAGTTAATCTTTGTGTTTTTTTCTATCAAAGTACCGATGTTTCAATTTTCTGCATTCACGGAACAGAAGCTTATTTTCAATCCTAATCTTTTTTTCTTTTTCTTTTTTTTCTATCGAAGTACCGTCGTCTTAATCTTCTGCCTTCGCGCTACTCTCTTCAGAAAATGAAAACTTACAGAAAACTAGGAAGTGAATCTACCGAATAGAAAGAAAGCCGCATTTAAAAGTTATGCACACAAAACCAAGCGAAATTTTATTTCAAAACAACACAACACACAAAAAAAAACTTGGATAACGCTGCTATTGATTATTAATAAAGGCACCATAGCGTATTCGTAGATATACATATATAGTGTATATAGAAAGAGTATATTAAGCATTTTCCCGCCAATTTTCTTCGCTCTCACGTACGCTTTCTTCAATTTCCTAATTTCAACAAAGAAAAAAAAAAGGGGAGGGAAAAAAAGGGGGAGGGGAGTGGAAGAACAAAGGTATGCAAAAGGACAAATAGAACAACTCAAAAATGAAAAAAAAAAAATCCTTGAAAATTTTAAATGCACAAAAAAAAGTCAGAACATGTAAAAAAAACGCAGAAAAAATAAATAAAAGAAATATGCACGGTTTTGGTACGCCTTTGAGAAACGATGACGGCCATTATTTCTCTTTCCCCTTCTCTTTTCTTCGCCCCTTCACCTCCTTCTCCGATTTTGCTCTCTCTTTCTCTCCACACGTCATTCCAGTCGCTTCCTCCCTGTTGCTTCGAAAAGAGATTTAAAATAAAAAAAAAAAAGGAAAGCGAAGACAAGATTTCTTTTATGAAAAGAAACACCCCTCAAGGTTTCTCCTCTCCGTACGCCGCGAGGAACCCAAAAAGCCCTGAAAGAAAATAGAAAACCAAAAATGACGAGAGGAACCGTCGCACCGTCTACATTATGATTTTATGTGCTCGACAGGAGTGTAATTTTGACGTTATATAGCAAATCGCTTGGTACATGTTTTCATCGCTGTCATAGATTCTCCGTCTTCATTATGCCCTTCTTACGGTATCAGTGTTCTTCGAGTAACCCTTCACAACCACGCCTCCCCGCTTTAACACTTCCCCGCCCCCTCTCCCCAGGCCCTTCATAGTGAAAAAAAAAACAACCTTGAGACCGGGGACAAAAATTAAACCACTCTCAAAGTTTTTTCTTTTTCTTTGTGCTGTGATTGTTTATCAGCTCGCATGCGCAGTAATCCTTATTTCAAAGCAACAATAATGATACAAAAAGGAAGAAAAAAGACTATTACAATGTTTGTAATACTTTTTTTTTGGGGGGGGGGGGGGGTGATGGTGGAGGGGGGTTATATTGATCCAGAAAACAAGCGGTTAAAAAGCGGAAGATTCAAAGAGGCGCTGTGTAGCGTTTGAAAAGCACGCATTCCGAGGGAGGGCCCATCATTGTTTCGATATATTGTGTACACCTCGTTTACGCGAAGACATTTTTTTTTTTTAATGCGGCTCAAGCTGCCGCGATTAATTATCTCGGAAATGTCCGCATGCAGCCCCGTAGGAAAATGCCGACTCATTAACGACGTTCCGCGGAGAATATTCTAGATGCACTAAGCGATATGACGACACCATAACAGTCAACCTCACAGCTTAAGAAACAGAGGGTGTGACGATTTCAGTGTTACATTCCCTTCTTCTGCTGGTGGCTTTTTATGCTCTGTATAATGCTTCTGTATTTGTACTTCCTGTTGAAGGTATTGCTTGTATATTGTCATGTACGGTGTGTGATTTCTTTCCTTATTCACTCCTGCTTAGACCATATTGGTCTGCGGTATGTCATAAATAAATAAATAACATAAATAAATTAAAAAAAACCTGTTCATCGATCGGCAGCCAATGAGACTGCTGCATTAGCTGATGAGAATGCCAAAGGACCAATCAGGAAGCAAGTAGCGTGAACACGAGAAGCCACGTCCCACGTT